GTTCAAGTTGGTCAAGATCTTTTTGAATCCTGAGCTTGTCTTCTGGGATGTTAGTTAGTTAATTAACGAGCTAACTAACTAACTAACTAACTAACAAACCTAACCTCTTACATAATTTCTGATTGAGTTTACAGCTGCCTCAAAAGTTGTAGGGATGGGGAAATTACAACTTCACGTACTTGAGGTCAGGATGCAAGTACCGGTATTCCTCGACTTACAAACACAAATTTTGAGCCCCCCAAAATTTCCGTGGTTAAGTGAAACTTGTCCCATTTTATGACCTGCCTTGCTATAATTGTTAAGTGAATCCCTGCAGTTGATGATTTAGTAACACGATCATTAAGTCAATCTGGGTTCGCCGTTGAATTTGCTTGTCAAAAAGGTCACCAAAGGGGGGATCATGTGACCCTGGGACACAGCAACGGTCATAAGTATGAACCAATTGCCGAGCATCCGAATTTTGATCACATGATCGTCGGGATGCTGCAAAGGTAGTAAGTGCAAAAAATGGCCCGAAGTCTTTTTTTCAGTGCCGTTGTAACTCTGAACAGTCACTAAATGAACCGTTGTGAGTTGAGGACCACCTGTATGTAATGGTTGCGTATGTGTGCTAAGCTCTTAATGCACATGTTGCCCTTTGGACGATGTTCTACTTATGATAAAAGTAGTAGGACGTTTCCAGACACTTTTCAAAAGGCAACTGCCTGCCCACAACACAAGAAATTCAAGATGAGCCATTATTTTTCTTCTGAGGTCAGCAGGATAGGTGAGATTATTGCCAATAGGCCTTTTATTTCTGTGATATTTTACGTCTAATATTCCTGTATTAAGCCACTAGTTTTTCTCCAAAGAGGCAGGCTGCAGACATCCTAGCACTCATCTGTTTGAGAGGGTCATTGAAATTCAGCTGAAGTACACTTGAAATTAAATGCAAGCATCGGAACGGAAGCTGTGTAGGCTCCCAATAAAATTAATGCAGTGACCAGATTCACTCTATCTAGAAATGGCTGTAGTTGGCACACCTACTTCAGCTGTGGATATGTGCTCTTTTGGACTGATCAGATGCAAAATATCTGCCGTACGAGGGCAATTCGGAAATAAGCCTCTGTTTGGTTTACAATGACACTGGCACATACAGAACTTTAATATCTATATCTATCAAATGTATCAAACATTAAGGTGATTATGTTAAAAAAATTATATATACATACATACATACATATATATACATACACACACATACATGTGTATGTGTGCATGTGTGTGTGTGTGTATGTGTATATATATTTGTTTTCGTAGATTTTCACGGGTACAGGTATGCAGGTCTTGGCGTATTCAGGTCTTTTCCCGTGTAAGATTGAGAGTATCTTGGCGACGTTTCGACGAGGTCCCACTCGTCATCTTTAGCTGGGGTCTTTGGCTCCGTGCTTGTGCGAGCAAAGGCATGAAGCCGAAGACCCCAGCCTGAAGATGACGAGTGGGATCTCGTCAAAACGTCGCCAAGATACTCTCAATCTTACACGGGAAAAGACCCGAATATGCCAAGACCTGCATGCGCGCGCGCACACACACACACACAATTAAATGTTTTCCGGTGAAACAGGTCTAATAGAACACCTGGTCTACCCAAATATGGGATATTACTTTTGCCTTTCATCCCCAATCTAGGAGCTTTTACAGGCGAAAGTCACTACTGCGATAAACTATTTCTGTGTTAAATTTAGATTTTGCCGACAAAGAATTAAAGGGAGACTAGTATAGCTATTTCGAGCTATTTAGCTCTCATCAGCTAGCCATACCCTTCTGAGATTCAAACCTGGGCCGCTTGCACGTTAGGCAGCTGTATGTTGTTAGCATTCTGAAACTACTAGTGGCTCATCTTCCTATTAACTCTATCAACATCTAGACCATTTCTACAAGAAAGGATTGGAACCAGTATGAAATCTGGCATGTTACAAAGTGTGAAATTATGGTGATTTCAACACAGGAAGTTATTGAATGGTATTTCAAACCGTAATTCCCAATCAAAATCATCTATCATCAAGGCCACCTCAATAACAAATTAAATCTGTTTGTTTCCCCCTCCCTTCTAAATTTTATCAGTCTCTTTCACTAGCGCAGGGGTCTTCAAACTTGGCCCTTTTATGACTTGTGGACTTCAACTCCCAGAATTCCTCAGCCAGGCATGATGGCTGAGGAATTCTGTTATGTATTCAAGACGGACAGTGATTAATAGTAATATGTTACTTATACGTAAGGGTGTAGGTCTATACGTATGTTGTATATAAATGTATGTTATGCATGTTTACACATGTTATGTATGTGTACACAATTTAGCAAGCAACTAAATTTCATTTTTAAGGTGTGCCGTTGTTCTCACAGGGAAAAAAATGTTCTAATCTTGTTCTGGATTAACCTAAATGCTATATGGGAGAAAATGTTGGCTTCCAAGACTTGAACCAGTTCAGTTAGTGATCGTTCAAAGTTACAACAGCACTGGATAAAAAGTGACTTACGACTGTTTTCCAGAGATACGACCTTTCCAGCATCACCCTGGTCACGTGCTCAAAATCCCGATGCTTGGCAAACAGAGTTCATATTTATGACCACTGCTTGTGGTGTCCCAAGGTCACATGATCCCCTTGGGTGGCCTTCCAGCCATCAAAGCCAACGGGGAAAGCCCAGATTCACTTAACCACCAGGTTACTAACTTATCAACTGCGGGGAGGAGAGGTCGTAAAATGGGGCAAAATTTCACTTAACCACAGAAATTTGGGGGGGGCTCAATTGTGGTGATAAGTCGTGAGCCAAGGACTGCCTGTATACAACCTATGAATCCATTGATTGAAGCTGAGGGTTATTGCGATTATCGTCAAACAATTGATACGCAGCGATTGCATATATCAGGGGTATCAAACTCAATTTCAAGGAATTGGCTCATTTTCCCCGAGCTGGCATCTGGGGAGATATCTGGAGAATCGTTCAAGGGAGACATCACATACTGTCTCCTCCTCCTATTTTCCCCCACAATAATAACTCGGTGGGGTGGGGTGAGCTGAGAGAGAGTCCAAAGTCACCCAGCTGGCTTTCATGTCTAAGTTGGGACTAGAACTCACCGTCTCCTGGTTTCTAGGCTAGCACCTTAACCATGACACCAAACTGCTGCTAAGCTTCTTGCAGAAGCCAATGTGTTTTGGTTTGGCATGCTATTCCAGATACCTTACACCAGGGGTGTCAAACTCAATTTCATTGAGGGCCGCATCAGCATTGCGGTTGCCTCGGGGGGCCGGGTGGGTGTGGCCAGGGTGGGTGCAGCCTCCTGGGTGGGCGTGGATGGAGTGAGTGTGGCCTACTGGGGTAGGCGTGGCTAACTCTACATAGTTCGCATCCAGGGTGCCTGTGGGGGCCTGGACAGGAGTGGGACAGATCTGAGGGTCTCTGGTAGAAGGGGATGGGACCAGGGCAAGTGCCAAGGCATGGTCCACTGGAGGAGCCTCACTGTTCCTCTCAGGCCATGCCGGGGGGGCTGGATAGTGGTGTGGGCTGCCCGGAGTCCTGGGCAGCAGAGATCAAATGCCCAGCCTATCCTTGAGCACCCATGGCACCAAGCCCAGCCCTACTTCCTCAAGGCTGCTACTCAAGGTTCTCCTGGTTCCTCGCTGTTTCCAGACAGCCTTGTGGAGCTAAGACTGAATGCGTTTCAGCATAGATGGCCACCACAAAATTGTACATTGGCTCCCGGCCAGCCTGGGCCAGGGCCAGGGCCAAGGCAACGGGGGCCATTCCCTCACTGTTTCCAGGATGGCTTCGCGGGCCACATGAAACCACTTCGCGGGCCGCATCCGGGCCCCGGGCCTTGTGTTTGACATGTCTGGCATATATGGATTTGCAAAGAGCCCAAGCAAATAAATGTGTTTTTCTCTCCATCATCGAAAGACGTGTCCTTTTGCCTAGGAGGGCCACTCGCTTCCTTGCCATCCGAGGAAAGATGCATTTGGTTGAAGCTTTCAGTTTACGTAGCTGTTTTAGTACGCTCTGAAAGCTTTTAGCAGTTGGTGAGTCCCGCCGGTTGGATCCCGGCCTGGTGCATCAGGGCTCCGGCTTGGCTCCATTATCACAAATCATCCCCCGTAAATCAAAAGCCATTTGGAAAGGAGGCTAATGTTAAAAACATTGTTAAAATAACGGATAGCGCTGGGCTCTGAAAGTTAAGACGCGACACAACCGGGAAAGGCGCAACTCACATCCTCATGCCCTTGGCTCTGTTATTGTATTATATGAAAACACAACCCACCTGCAAAGGGGTGCAACCCACATTAAAATGCATTTGGTTCTGCTATTATATAAAATATAAAAACACAACCCAACTGGAAAGGGCGCAACCTACATTAAAATGCATTTGGCCATGCTATATTATATTATATAAAAACACAACAAACTGGAAAGGGTGCAACCTACATTAAAATGCATTTGGCCCTGTTATATTATATTATATGCCAGCGCACCACAACTGTAAAAGGTGCAACACACATCCACACACATTTGGCTCTGTGGTTATATTTTATTATCCCGTCCTGCCTTCTTCTGAGGACCCTTTCTCTGTTTTAATGCGCCCGGGCATCTCCCCGTGGTCTCCCATCCCAAGCCCAGGATGTGACTGACAGCATCTGTGCCCATACTGCAAGACTAGAATGGCACCGAAACACAACACATTGTGGGTTTTTTTTTTGTTTTAACACAACACATCCAAACACATCTCAAACGCAACACAGTCTCATCCTCAGCCTTTCCGGGTGGTCGCCCATCCAAGGACGGACCAGGGCCGACCCTGCTTAGCTTTGCTGACTTCCCTCTCGCGGAGAGGAGAGGGCCACCGTTCCCCCCCCCCCGGACAGCGGCCCCCGCGGCCACGGAGCCAGGACACCGGCCGTCCGGAGAACGAACCGTCCGGCTGGCAGCCCCCAGCCCGCCCCGGAGACCCTCCGATCCCAGGAACTCACCAGCCCGACTCGGAGAGGGTCGCGGCCGCCGTGTCAGCCATGACGGCTCCTCCGCCGCCGCCGCCACCTCCTGCTCCCCCCACCCCGCGCAGGGAAACCGAGGCACGGTGGCCGGCGAGGGTCAATCCCGAAAGCGTTTCTCTCCCCCGCAGGTTATTAAAAAAAAAAAAACGAGGGGGAAGACCCTGCCCCCTCGGCCTCGCTCAGGCTGCCGGAAGTCCGGGGCTCCGCGCTGCCTCCCTTTTCCGCTTCCGCCCGGAGCCCAGAGAGTCTCCTCCGGCAGACGGGAGCGCGGGTGCCCCTGGCGGATCCTGGAGGAACGGCGCCCACCTTGGAGCATTGAAGAGCGTTTGCGGCAGGTCGGTGCGGCTCGGGAGGATCCGCTGTGAAAAGCTGAAATGAGCCCCTTTTCGTGGTTCTGGTTGCTTTTTCCACTATTTGCTGCATGCAGAATTGACCCCCCCCTTTGTCTTCTTTCTATCCTGCCTTTTGGCCCAGAAGAATGGCATGGAATAAAGAAAATAGGATAGGATAGGATAGGATAGGATAGGATAGGATAGGATAGAGAAAATAGAATAGAATATAATAGAGAAAATAGAACAATATAACAGAATTAGAATAGAACAGAACAAAGAAAATAGAACGGAATAGAATAGAATAAAGAAAATAGAATAGAATAGAATAGAATATATGGAGTGGAGTGGAATAGAATAGAATAGAATATATGGAGTGGAGTGGAATGGAATGGAATGGAATAGAATAGAATAGAATAGAATAGAATAGAATAGAATAGAATAGAATAGAAGAAAGAAAATAGAACAGAATTAGAATAGAACAGAATAGAACAGTGACGGCGAACCTTTTAGAGACTGAGTGCCCAAACTGCAACCCAAAACCCACTTATGCATCACCGAGTGCCGGGTGGGTGTGGCCCATTGGCTGGGTGTGGCCCATTGGGTGGCGTGGCCAATTGGATGGACATGGCTGCAGTGGTAACGGCAGACTGGGTGGGACTAAAAAGTTCAATCAATCAATTCCAACTTTGCAAGAACTTTTTTTTTCCTGCGAGAAGTTGAAATTGACTGATTGAACCCTTTTTTTTTTTGCACATGGCAGCGGAGGCCTAAAGCAAAAAGGTTTTATAAAACTCAGCTGAAGGCCTAGAACTGGGGCGACGACGTGCGTGCCCACAGAGAGGGTTCTGAGTGCCGCCTCTGGCACCCGTGCCATAGGTTCGCCACCACTGGAATAGAATAAAGAAAATAGAACACAATAGAGTAGAATAAAGAGAATAGAATAGAAACTTTATTGTCACTTTAAATGTACACGAATCAGTATACATTAAAATGAAATTGTGTTGCATTCAGCTCTCAAAAAATACCATTATGCATATACCCACGTATATGAAACAGAGAAACATCGCAGTCTAGTTCAAGTGTGTATGTATACATGGCGAAGTATGTCAAATCCATGGAGAAAGCCTGCTCCCAAATCACCCCCAGAGTCTCTGCAGCTTAGGGTGGACTCGAACCCGGCACTTTGGATCCAAATGCAACATGGATTCTTTCTCTTGGTGTCCCTGATTTCTTTTCCGGGCTGTGTTGCAAAAAAAAAAAAAATGCCCCAGTGGGTTTATGTGGATTTCTGCAGGATTTGCTTGCCTTTCCCCCATCAGCCTCTTTTCTTACTTTCCTTGTCTCCAAATCATGCTTCAAGATTTTGTGCCATTCCATCTGCACACTTTGAAAATGGTAATAATAAATAATAAAAATGGTGTAATCTATATAAATAAAAATGTAAATGTTCGTTTGTTCAAAATCTTAAATCTCCGAAAGTTCTTCACTGAATGCTTTGAAATTTTGACACAATGTTGCATTTGAATATGCGCGTGTTTTTATATACCTATATTATATAGATGTCACACCTGTGACAGGTAAAAACATGTTTTTGAAAAACAGCGCCATCTGTTGGACATAAAAGCATACCCACAAGCATTGTGAAATTAAACATATTACAAACGTGCACTTTCTCTTTTCTTTCTTTTCCATTTAACCAGACTGAGGCACAGCAACGTGTGGCCAGGTACAGCTAGTAAATAATAAAACTGATCCGGTAATTACTATACAATCTCCTTGGCAAGTTCACACCTGTAATTTTTATTTTTTTTAAAAAAAACATGATTCAAAGAAAAAGCTTTGAATAAACACTTGGTCCATTGAAATAAACATTCATTTCTCTTGTTCATAGAATGATGAACAGTAACAATTTCCTCTACCACATCCTTGAAGCATTTTTGTGCATATGTACTGTACAGTCGCAGCTTATTAAACGATCACTATTATACTGTGAGAAGTCAGCCCCCCAGAGAAGGAAATATTAAAAGGGCAGAAAAATATATTTCCTCAAATGATCTTAAAGAGGCAGAAAAGCATGCCCAGTTTTCTTAATAGCCCCAAGTCTCCCTCCCCCAAGCAGAAACCAGCTCTGTACAAATGCAGATGTAAACAATCCAGGAAGGTTGAAGCTAGAAGATTAAGAAGACAAAGACACCTAAAATCTACATACCCCACCCAAACTCTAAGACAGGACATAATAGGATTAACCCACAGATGCCAAAGGGCACACTCAGACTCAGGTCAAAGTTCATGCCACAGGAACAACTCCAAACAAAAGGCTCCATAGGGTATAAAAACCCACTCCCTACATGTGCTCTTCTCTCTTTTCTTCCAGAGCCATCTTCCCATCTGGCTCTCCTCTTCAATAAACTGCAACCTTCTTTCTAAAAGCAGTCTCCATGTTGTTTATTCCCAGCTTGGACTGAACCATGATGAAGACTTTTCCTTCAACAATACTCTATTTAAAATACAGTTCAATTAAGTGGCAAACATCACCTACATTAAACTCCTGTATTAAAAAGGGGGGAATGTTTCACAAAAGGCAGCCAAAGGGGTGATGGGCACCAGGCGAATTTGAATCCAGTCTCAGCCAGCAGGTTGGAGGATTCCGTGTGATTCTCTTTTCATTCGAAACTTTTTGTGAGGGAGAAAAGTCAGAGGAGGAAGTGTTAAGTCTGTCGCCTGGCTCTCCTGAAGGAAGACGAGATACAAATCAAATAAGTCAACGAAGTGCTTGAACACTTTCATGCCGTTGAACACTTTCATGCCGTTGCCATGAAAGAGGGCCCTTGCAAAATGCATGAGCCAGGAACTAAGCATTAGCTCTTCAAATGCTTAAGCAGCTACTTTGCTCTGCTCTGCTGGGGCTCACATCTATCCGGGCGGGCATGCGCCTTCACCTATGGACTGCCGAGAAGCCCTTTTGAAGCCACAGGTGGCCTTCAAAAAGATACCATCGCTTCAATACTTCGAGGAGAGCTTGCTTCACTCCTACTGTGCTTTGCAAATTGCAGCTTTTGGAAAACCTCTTTGCAAGCTCTAGCAGATTCTCAGGTAATCAAGCCTCAGATATGTTGTTTAGTTGGTTTCCTATGAGACATTCAGGGCTTTTAATTTATTATTCTTATTATAGCGTTTCTTTGACTGTTGCAGTATCCAAACAGCTAAATATCCATGTATGGAGATGGTTAGTTTGGCATTTATTCCTAATTCCTAATCAGGTTTCTCTGACCAGAGCATATGCATCAAAGTGTGGGAAGTCAGCCCCCCAGAGAAGGAAATATTAAAAGGGCAGAAAAATATATTTCCTCAAAGGATCTTAAAGAGGCAGAAAAGCATGCCCAGTTTTCTTAATAGTCCCAAGTCTCCCTCTCCCACCCAAGCAGAAACCAGCTCTGTAGAAATGCAGATGTAAATAATCCTGGAAGGTTGGAGGCCCCCAGCTAGAAGATTAGGAAGACAAAGACACCTAAAATCTACATACCCCACCCAAAGTTTAAGACAGGACATAATAGGATTAACCCACAGATGCCAAAGGGCACACCCAGACTCAGGTCAGAATACATGACACAGCAAATACAAAGCCTCAAACTGGAACAGGAAACAATCTCAAGAGCTCCAGAGGGTATAAAAACCCACTCCCTGCATGTGCTCATTCTTCTTCTTTCTTCCAGAGCCATCTTTCTGTCTGGCTCTCCTCTTCAGTAAACTGCAATCTTCTTTCTAAAGCAGTCATCATGTTGTTTATCCCTGGCTTGGACTGAACCATGATGAAGACTTTTCCTTCAACAAAAGCTATTTCCAAACATCTGCAATATACTGCAATGTGTTCACAAATGCATGCAAAGTCCAATAATTTCTTACAGCATTCAAAAACCAATCATAATCTTAATAATCCAGGTGGAATATTTAATCTGTGGTGAAATACACCCCTCCTTGAGTTGAGAATCTCTGAATGTCATCCATAGATTTATTTTTTTTAAGTGTGCTTTTAATATTTTTTTTCAGTTTTCTATTTAATATGCAGAATTAGCAAGCTTACCCTATTTGTGCCTCTCCGTTATTTTGAGTTAACTCACAAAGAACTTTCACCTGATTTTTTTTTTCTGATTTTTTTTTAAACTGGAAATGAGGGAGGCTGAAACTGGGATGGTATCAGGTCGCTATCAAGGGTGTACAGTCACTCTTCTATTTATTTAAGTCTTTTTTTAATTAAACATGTCAAATGCACGTTAATAAAAATGTATGCCTCAATGAGTTGGAGCAGGGAGCGGAGAGAATGAGCACACAGCAGGTCATTTATGTTAATAATTTTGATATTAACTAGAATAAGTGATTGTGTGTATTATAATAATGGTGGATAGATTTAAAAAAAAAAAACACCTCTGAAAATACCAGCTGAAGCAAAGAACTTGCCCAATATTGCAAGAGCTAGCATTCTCTATAGTGTTCTTTCTTACTTCAACTTTCTGATTAAATCCGGTATCTACATATCATTACTTCTCCAAGTTTCATAGTCTTTCTCTCGCCTCAAATAACCTTTGTCATTAAAGTGTTATTAAAAAGTCTGTTCGCCTCCAAGAGATGTCACCGAATGACATTTTCTGAAATTCTGAGA